TTTATGTTTTAGATATTAGCTGACGGAAAAATAGATAAAACTGTTATCGTACAAGGATATTTCTCAATATTACTTTTACTTATTTTCTTGATGAATACTTTTTTCTACTGTGGGGCAGGAGAGCTTGTAACACAACAAGTAAGTTATATCTGCAGTATGTTAGGTTATACTTAAACAAAAAAGTAATGCAACACATCTTTTTATCAGCCAATAATAAAAACCAATAATAAAGAAAAGTAAAATTGTACATTCTGCAAACATCAAGATTGTTGCTTTTATGTAAAATTACATGATATTCTAACAGATAAAGTAGCTGTAATAACTTTTCAAATAATGCCTGTTAACAACTCGTGTGTTACAATCTACGAGCTATAGAGTGCATTCCGTTTTCATACTCACACGCTATAAGCATCAGTCTATCCCCGTTGTCTACCAAATATTAAATAAGGATAAATGATGCTTACAAATGTGAGCGCAAAATGAAATACATCCATAATTGAATTTTTTATTACGAAATTACAGAATTCCTCTGTTGTAGTGCTATTCTGTTCACGCTTATCGGTAATTATCGGTGTTGTTATATGTGTTTTGCGCAGTTATTTTATTACTCATAATATCTATGCAAAATACATAACGACACCGACAATTATCGGTAGGCGTGTACAGGAAGTTACGTAATGACTCCCCAGTCCTTACGTATTCTGTAACTTGTTATATGTTCATAACGATAGTCGCGCAGCTTTTTTACTATGTAAAATATCTGCGCAACTATTGTTTTGAACACGTAACGACTGCATAACGAGTTACAGAATTCTATTTCTTCTTCTGTATTTTGTAACTTGCTATGCAGTCGTTATGAGTGCATAACTACAATTGCGCAGATATTCTATATAAGTAAAAGAGCTACGTAATTGTCGTTATAAACACATAACGACTCCATAATGAGTTATGTATTGTAATAATACAGATCCTGGATTTTAAAATGGGAAGTCATATGGAATTACAGCTCTGATTTCTACTGAAACATATTCAATAATATTTCTGTCATTTTTATTTTCTTATTTTGACGATTCATGGTTTATTTCAACGTTTTCAACGATTTATACCAAGGTACTTCATCTATCAGAATATAATTTTACATAAAAACGCTTTATTTTATACTTTGGAACAAATATAATTTTCATGTTACTATGGCTACCAAAAATTTTTTTTAGTTTTATTATTAAAATACTATTTATTATAAATTTGTTATCAAATTACAAGGTAAAACTATTTATTAAAAATTTACTAGTACATATTTATGCATAACCGTTTACTGAATGACTGTTTCTGAGTAAATATTAACAAGAATGCAAATTCGTTCGAGTTATATCACATTTCTACTTCTAATTTCTTTTACAAGAAATAAGAAGTTATTTAAATCTCAATTAACTATTACTAATATATTTAGAAATAATCCTTATTGAAGTGTCATGGATATTAATATATTTTTTCATATGTATTTATTAAGTGCAATGCAGTGTATCGTGCAATGTGCGATCTTGAATGGTATAAATTGGAATCAAGGAAGGCAAGAAATCTTATTTTGTTAATGATGCGAGCTAAATATCCTTTTTCTATCACTGCAGGAAAGATTTTTCCATTAACAATGGCTACTTTTTGCAGTGTAAGATTATCTTAATAATTCCTTTCATATTAATTTTACTCTTTTGCTATATAATGGAATCCGATTTATTTTTACATTTAATTTATCTCCCTCTCTCTTTTTCTTTCTCTTTATCTACATACATTCACACGCACGAATGCACGCATATCGGGTGTTCAGACCACTCGTACACCCCATTTAAAAACGGGAAATGGTAATTTTGAAAAATGTTTTAGACAAAAGTTGTTTGCATCAAGTAATGCATTAGCATATGCATGAGCATATGCGATTGATTTAGTTGGCGTGAAGGTCATGTCAAGATCGACTTGAACTTTTTAAATGAAAACCCATATCCTTTATTGCATGTTCTTACATGCTGTTATTAAGACGTTTTCGCAATAATAGTTACAAATCCTTTTTAGTTGAGATCTTCCTAAATTATGAGATTTCAAAATTTTAGTAAGCTGAGCATTACCATTACATAACGTGTACTGGAAATCGC